TATATATAATATATATATATAACAATATAAATTAATATTTAAAATTTAAAATACATTATTTAAAATTTTAGTGTATTCATTTTTTTTATAAAAATAATTTATAAGACTTATAAATAAATATTATAACTTGAACTATTTGTTGTTGATTCGTTGTTTTATTTTTGCAGTTCTAATTATATGTAAAATGTTCATTAGGGTAATTGGGTAGGACACGATTGTAAACAGCTGCAATGGTCGAACCTGAGTGTTAATAATTAGTAATTAATGTTGTTTATAAATGATTTTTTTTTTTTTTTTGTTCATAAATTAACAATAATATTTGTATAGTTACAATTAGTTGCTACTTTTTATATTATATTTGATTACGATATTATTTATGAGAAGTAAAAACTAGTTAACTAACCACTACACCTGAAATACGAATAAGCAATCATAAGATTATAATGAGTGTATTGTTAGATTTTATTATTTGATCATAACTAGTATGAATTATTTAAATAATTTTTAACTAAATCTTAGAACCTTAGACCTTAGATTCATAAGGTCATAGAAAAAAATATAGATTTATACACCAATCATTTAAATGGTTTAATTTCGAATGTAGATACTAACAAATTTATTTTTACATCTTAGGTATTATATTTAAATTAAAAATTAAATAAGTAGGTTAAGAAATTTAAGAAACGTAAGTATATGCGATTAAATGTTCATAGAATATAGATATTTCAGATAAAGAAAAATACATTAATGATTCTTGTTAATATATAAGTCACACCTATTAAATTATTAAATTAATGAATTATCTAATTTAAATATGCATAATTAATGATTTCCCAATATTAACGAATATAATAATAATTTAAAAGAAGTAAACATTTTATAAGTAGGTCAACATACAGGGTATTCCATGTAAATTTATTAATTTTAAATAATGAAATGTTTGTACATGGAAGTGATTGTAATATATTAAATTATTTACGATTATTACGATTTAAAGTTAACAATCCATCGAGTATTTAGGTACATCCTATTAATGTATTAACGAGTTATTAATAAATACTGTTATTACATAAAAGGTCAGGTTCGGAATATTTTATGTACATTATGCAAATAGACGTATGCCTAAATACGTCACCTAATTAAGATTTTATGGATATACAGTATAACACGAGTATAATTAATCTACAACTGAAAATTATGAAATAAAATAAATATATAATATTATATTTTTTGGGATAGACTTAAATAATTAGTTATTTATTATAATTAGCAACTTATTATGATTAGACGTATAGTAGCCTCAGAATGGACTAAAGTGATATACTCATGCGCTGTTCAGAATATATATTATATGTTAACTGGGGAATCAGGAATAAAACATAACAATTAATACCTAGAAACTATTTGAAAAAAACTAACAGCTGAAAATGTTAACAAAATATCTTATACTACAATAATGACCTTTTCTTTTTCTTTACTACCCTATTTTTTTATAATTGTATTAGATGAATTATTTAACCTCAGTCGGAAGATATTTACTATTTAATATTAGAGCTATTACTATTTTGACGTAAAAAATTTTAGGTTAAAAAAGTGCATAATCCTTGTATATTTTACATTGTATTAATTTTTCTATCATTTTTCTATATCGCTGAAATATTTACATTATTTATAAAAAATACATGTCCGATGGTTTGTTCTCAGTGTACTCCAAAACTACTGAACCGTTTTTGATGACATTTGATACAGAGATAGATTAGACTTTGGAGAAGGATTTGGGAACTTTTTGTTGCAAAAAAAGGAAGAGGAAGCACCAGCAAACTTGATAAGGCTCGAACCGGTAATTGTTGTTTTGTTGTTAATACAGAAACCGAAAAAACGGTAAAGAATTCTATAGATACACGCATAAAAAATAGTGAGCGTGTATATTCTACTAAAAATAATTTCTAAAAGCCACTATCTTCTCTTCCAAAAACGATACGTTTGGAGATACCTCGGGTATTAGACTTGGAGCATAACAGGCCGATAATGGAAAACCTGCATTCAAGGAGATCCTGTTCAGAATTGGCCTGGTGTTAAATCTAGAAATGCCTTAAGTCGAGTTTACATGGTCCATGTTAGTAATATATGTGTAGAATGTTTTTGTTTGAAAATGCTTTTATATTATGTGAGTGGGCCAACTTCTTTCGAAGATTTAAAAAAGCTAAATAATCAGTATTTTTCGATATTTTGAGAAGCATCAGAGAATTATGGAAGTTAGTAGTACTTTAATACAAGTGCTAGATCATAATACTGCTTTTTTAAAATGACAAATAACGGAGGTTGTTCTATTTTAAATCCAGAACAAGGATAAATTATAATCATAATGATTAAATATAAACATCTATAATATTGTTGGTATTCACGATACCGTATCTATAGTTATTACATAGCACTACGCAAGACAGCAATATTTAACAGAGTATCATGGGAGTGATGATGGTATTAGACAAAAGAAGAACAAAAACAAAATAATCAAGTTTAAATATAATATATAATGTATTTAATAAAATAAATATGGTACAATTTATTTCAAAACTACAAGAGTGAAGCCGGGCAATTCAGCTAGTGCATATGTATATAATACAATAACCTAGGCTTGATGTATTTCATTTTTTGGTTATCTAGGAAATATTTTAATTGGTTTAATATGTTGAATTTAATTATTACCGATTGAGGTATTTAAAAATAATTATCATTATAATACATTAGGCTTGTGAGAATTTCTAAACTTTTACTATAATATTTATATAACTTATATCTAGGGCTCGGGACTTATAGCTCTTAAAATTATTAAAATAAGCACTTAAAAACATCATAATAAGCACTAAAATAAGCATTTAAAAAATTTAAAATTAAGCAAAAATATTTATCCAAAAAAAAAAAGCTATAAAATTCTAACTAAAAATCAAACAAAATAAAATAAATTAAATAAATAAATAAATAAATAAATCTTCACTTTCAAGACTTTAAGGATTTTATGGATTTTCTAAGGGATTTTTCAGAAAAATAAAATGTAAACTGTTTTCTCTGTTCTTGATCATTCTGACGTTTGAAACTCTGTTCTATTTTCAGCGTTTGGAACATCATTGTTGCGATGAACTACGTGACAACGTAGTTAAGATAAGAATTATTTTTAATTTTAATTCTATCAAAAACGACTTTGTAGGAGAAAACTATAAAAACGTAAAAAAACTGGTCAAATAAGCAAAAATTATTAGAAAAACTGGAAATAAGCATTTTTTTTAAAAATTGCTGAAAAGAGCAAAAAAGGTACTTTAAAATTTCATAATTGTACGTGTTATAACCTGATATATACTTCTATAGCACTCTGCTACATTTTAAGTCAATCCATAAAATAAACAAATGCTTTAAATCCCGAGCACTGCTTATAACATATAATATACACTTAATCATTAATTTTATCTATATTATGTATAGATAAGCTTGTTAAGTATTATTGAGTATATTCAATTTAAAATTTAAATATACCTACTCATTAAAATAAATGTATAAAAAAAATTATATGCCTTCTTCTAATCCTCCAATTAAATATTAGCTGATAAATCCATTTGTATGAAATTTAATTTTTGTAATTTAAAAAAAAATTATATGGATATTTAAATCATTACAGATTCAAGGAGTCGAGGTTGCCATTTGAAAATTAAAGTTACTACAAACTATAACCTACATGAACAGTAGCGGCCGAGCATAGGCGTGTTTACGGCCAGACCTGCAAAATCCAGTTCCGTTTTAAATGTATGGTTAAATCATTAAAAATAATGACTAAAAAGTAGTGCTCGACTTGAGGAGGGATGCAAGGGGACGGAGTACCCCAACTAATTTTCAGAAATTTTTGCGTCCCCCTACTATTATTACGCTATAATCATAACGCTCAACTAGTTTTGGGGACATTCTTTTTTTTTAAAATACAGTTCCCCTTCTTTAATTTTGCCAAGTCGAGCACTGCTAAAAAGTAAAAAGAATGATTAAATAATAAATATTTTCACATAGGTAATATATTATTTATATAATATGTTTGTGACAAAAACTAATCAATAATATTTATTATTAGTACCTATGTAGTTGTATGTTATATTATAGATCTTTTATTTTATTTTTTATTTTATTATTTTTTTTTTTTTGAAGGAGATTAGTATATTATTTACTAACTATAACCAGGGTCGGCCCTTGGGTAGGTCAACTGGGACATTTGTCCTAGGCCCTGCGCGAATTTTAGGGCCCCACGCTTAGGTCATGAGAGCTAGGTATATATATATAGTTTAATTGAAAAAAAATATATCATAGAATTAAAGTTTTATGTTTTTGTAGTATTTATTTGTGATGGGCAACAATATCAATAATTCGATAAAATGTCGATATCGTGACACATTTTCGACACTGATATCATTCTAGTTGTACAATATATCGCAATATCAAATTGAAGAAAATGAATATAGTACACCTACCATACAAGAATATTTTTTAGATTTTGTAACGGTCGATTCTACTACCGGTTTAAATTTGTCAGAAGTTCTGATCACACAACTTAAATTATATAAAATAAACATTGAAAATTGCCGAGGTCAGGCTTATGATAACGGATCGAACATGACAGGAAAATATCAAGGAGTTCAATCCCGAAAATTTATTAAATATAAATCCTCGAGCATTTTTTACTCCTTGCGTTGCCCATAATTTAAATTTAGTCCTGTGTGATGCTGCTAAAAATTCAACTATAGCCATTACATTTTTTGGTATAGTTCGATGTGTTTATACATTATTTTCGGCATCAACATATCGATGGAGTGTTATTAAAAAACATTGAACAGTATTCACGGTTAAACAATGGTCAGAAACGAGGTGGGAGAGCCGTATAAATAGCGTAAAAGCTTTACATTTTCAACTCTCAAGTATTTTAAATGCTTTAGAAGAAGTTTCTGAGACAGCTAATAATTTGATGGCCCAAAGTGAGGCTGTTTCACTATCAAATGAAATCGGTAATTATGAATTTATATTGAGTCTTGTGATTTGGTATGATATTTTAACAGAAGTAAATATTGTGAGTAAAAGTTTACAAGATCATAATACGGATATAAATACTTCGGTAAAAATGGTTCAAAGTCTTATACAGTTTTTGCATCAATATAGAGAAAATGGGTTTAATTTTGCGAAAATTGCTGCTAAAAAATTAGCCGAAGATGCCGATATTGCAGTTGCTTTCAAAAATCCAAGAGTAAGAAAAAAGATGAAATTATTCGATTATGAAAATGTCAACGAACCTGTGTTAAATAATGAAGATCGGTTTCGTACAAATTATTTTTTCATCGTTCTTGACCATGCAATACAGTCGATTGAGAAACGCTTTAATCAGTTGAAGACTTATTCGGACAATTTTGAATTTTTACATCGCATTGGCAAGTTGAAAACAATGGAAAATGATGATATATTAAAACACTGTAAAGATTTACAAATAATTTTAACAGATAATAATTTAAAAGATATAGATGGATTAGATTTATTTTCCGAACTAATTATTTTTCGATCTTTAGTTGACGAAGATACAAATACGTTCCAGGCACTTAATATTTTAAAAACAACTCACGGATCATTTCCTAATCTAACCATTGCTCTTAGAATAATGCTAACTATTCCTGTGACATCAGCTTGTGCAGAAAGAAGTTTTTCAAAGCTAAAATTAATAAAGAATTATTTGCGCAATCGGTTAGGCCAAGACAAACTTTCTGAACTAGCTTTAATATCAATTGAAGAAGAAATATCGTCCACCATCGACTATAAACATCTCATCGACATCTTCGCTTCGAAAAAGTCTAGAAAGAAAATGTTTAGGTAAGTTTTAATATGATAATTTCTATTTTACTTTATTTTAATTGTTAATGATATTATGATAAAAAGAATTAATCATGTATATTATATATTTACTTTCCACGATAAAACAGTGTAAAGAATATTTGATTTTAATTATTATTTATTATATTCCAATAGAATAAAATACCTAATAATAATTTTTTTGTTTTTTATTATTTTTTTTTTTTTTGTTTGTATATGGAGATCGCTGGGTCTCACTGAGAAGTCTCGTATGAAGAAAAAAAAAATAAAAAATATATGAACTAGACTGAAATGCATACTAAATATATCTGGGTAGAAAGAAAAATAATAATAATATATATAATGAAAACATGGAAAAAATATATCAAATATATGTACATATTTAAAAAAAAAAAAAAACATTGAAAATTATTTTGTCCGGGGCCCCGCAAAAACTAGGGCTGGCCCTGACTATAACTACTATAGTAACTAAAATTACTAAACATGTACGTTCTCGAGGTAGTGTATTGTGTATAAATTACTCTTTGTTTTCGTATTCTAAATGAAAATTTATATTTTCCTAATGAAAAATTTTACTGGCCATACCTGCGAAAATATTTTAGACACGCTTATTGCAGCCAAGTATGAAGACAATTAATTAAGCATTAAAAATACAGAATAGAATTTTATGAGAATAAGTGGTAACAAATTATATAGAATTGTAAAGGTGTTTCAAAAAAAAAGGCAGGATTTAAATTTGCTATAAATTAAATTCATTTCTTTTAAAAAAACATACATATTAAGTATTTTTAGTTTTCTTTGATCAGACGTGGGAAAATTTATCGTGGTCCAGAGCGCATAGTTTCACAGGCTGCGGACGTCGTTCTTCTGTCGCTACGAGTGGCTGCACTGGATTAACGTATCCATGTCTCACACTGTGAATATTGCATAGAGTACTCTATGGAATATTGCCCTGCTCGACCGATAAGGACAACAATAACAATAATACGATGACCGGGCGATAACGACGACGACCGACTTGTGACGACCAAACTCAGGTTGTTGTTCGTGATCGAGAAACCTCCAAAAATCAACGAGTTATACATGGCCTGTAGTCCGGTCGCCGAACGTGTGCTGCCGGGACGGTAAAAGTAAAACTTGTCGCTTTCGTTTTACGATGATCGCGTAACGCTGTAACGGTCTCCGGACCGGCACCATGACGACGTCGTCAATCATCGGCATCTCGCTCGACTCCTGTGATATTTTTCATGCGAGTTCTTGGGGGTGGGAGCATATGATATAATTCGATAAGACCGATTACACGGTGTCTCACATCGGAACGGAAACAAAATTATGACCGTTTCAACAATTTTATGTTAATAAATATTAAAAAACATAGTAAAAAGTCCGATCCCCGCCGCCCGTTTGGTTCGCGTGACAGCGCTTCGACGCCTAGGCTATCAAGTAGTGGCGAACGAGGTGAGGGGAGGGAGGTAACTTTTCCCGTCGCTACTCGCCGCCGAGGAATAACCGTCAGTGCTCTCGCGATTGCCGTATGTTCGTTACTGTTCGATGACGCTCGGTCACGCGTCCCGATGAAATCGTTCGCAAGATAACACACGGACGTCCTCTTGGTCATTTTTATTATTCGTTTGCACGTGAACGCGCATTGAAGCGATTGACCGCTTTGATAAGTATTAAATAAACCGTATTCCGTTTGCGATTTTCAACTTTTGGCTGTGTTTTCGTTCATCATCATACGTGCCGCGTTTTCGTGAAAGTCTGTCGTGCCTCCACCCTATGTCCCCGCTGCGGGCTTTGACTTAAGCTCGTCACACACACACGCACGCATCATACCGACATATCGTTCATCACCGTAACCGATCGTGCAATGGAAAACAAAAAGCCCAAAGAGAAAAGAAGGTAAAATAGTTATATCGAATTAACAGGAAAAATCGTTCGCGCTCTCGGTCATATCACAATTATGATAACGTTGTTATTATTATGAAACGCTGCTGCCGTGCAACGGGTCGGCACGTTACGCGTGTAATTGAGGTCACAAATCGTCCGCATTCGCGGTCATGTAAGCGTACGTCTTTGCGTGTATATTAATATTATTTATCATTATGCCTGCGTTCGGTAAAATTATGCCGTGCGTGGTGTGTACGATTGTCAAGCGAATTTGTTGGTCGTTTTTCCTAAGCGCCGTGCATTAGACACTCGCAGTGATGGGTTTTTGTCAACATCTCCCGCGTCGTTGACCGAGATCGTCCTGACGAATGACTAAAAAGTTCTGTCTCATCGCCAACCGCTAATGTTTATAGTATACTCATTTTATCTTTTTGGTATATTCATTAATGTTGATATTTCGTTCGCGTGCATCGATTGTAGACGTATTCACAACAATCATGGCGGTTTACCCGAATTCGTTCATATTATTAAATTAATTGACCACTACGAATTGCGCATATACATACACGTTCACACGATCGCGCGTGCGTACTGTAGAGGTTAAACGAGTTACTGGAAAATATAAGTTATCGTCCGTCGATCGGCTATAATGTTATTACATTATAAATAAAATTAATCTTTAAATCGCTTTATTAATATACCGATAAAGAACAAAAACAGAAATAGCTTTTCAAATCATAGCTTTTTTTCCGGTCGAAAGTCATTGTTTATTTCTTATCTCGTCATCTCGATTTATAATGTAAATCGGTAAATTAATGGTTCAGTCTCCAATTAATATAATAGGCAATAAGTAGGTAAAAGCTGTAATAGCTACTTATTTATAATGATTTTAGAGTAATATTGATACCATGTTTGCATTGAAAACTACTATTTTGAACAGAAAGAATCGTGTAGTTTATGTCACCTTATTTATTTGAACACCATATTATTTTAATATGCATTCCAACCTATTTTTATGTTACAACAGACATGAATTGAGTGCATTTTAAGTGTATTAGCAATTTAATAATTACAATTTAGATAATATGAGTGACTGTGAGTGTAATTTGCTTATTCTCAACATTCTCGTTTCTGTAATACTATTTTTGTCTATTAACCTGAAGACTTGCCTGAAGCTAGATATATGCCCATGAAAAACAACTTAGATTAGTAAATATTGTTCAGTATGGTAATTAATGATGTTATTAACCTAATGAACATGAATATCTAGATGTTTAGATAATCAACATGGAATAGCGTTATAAACAGTAAATCAAATATTTGTTTTGGCGTATGTATCAAAGAATTTGTGGAATTTCTAATTTTATCAGTTATTGAATTTAATATTGTATATATTTATTTACTGTTTATGTATTTTTATTCAGTTTTAAATTTTAATTATATTTAGAATAATATCCATCTATAGCAATGATATCAAATTATTAAATAAGTACCATTGGTTATCAATTTTATCATAAATGCACTGAACAGAAATGAAAAAAATTTGAACATCTATATATCTATAGATTCTGAGATTATTGTTAGCACTAGGTATATATTGAAATTAAAACACAATAAAAATTATTAATTGACTATTATTTATAGATTATGACATTAAAGTCTGGGTTTTGCTATATGTGTTTGTTATTATACTTATTTTTGTGTATTAATTGCTGCTTACAATTCTTTACAGTTAGTTTACCTAGAGTAAATTTTTTGGAAGGAAAGATTCACTGTCAAATCTCTATATTTGTTATGATAATGCTTATTTTTTGGATACATTTTTTCTTTATTTATCTTATTATTTTTGTAATTAGGTATAATTATCTGTGTAAATTAATTAAATGTTTATATTTTAAAAACACTTTTTCATATTTTTATGTTTTATATCTAATATTATTTATCATATTGGTTTGTAGGTATATTATAAGTTACGAGATAAGTAACAATAAGAAATTAATTGTATAACCAAAAATGTATATATCATTACTTATACATATTGGGTAGTTTCATAATTTTCATAGATGTGAGTATAGATGTTAAATATAATAAGAAATTGAAACTATTTTTAAGTTAATAATTAATATTTAAATTAAATTGACTGCTAGATTAAAAAGATTATGAACATTTTGACTTTTGTGATAACTTTTTAGTTGATAGTTAATCGTGGATTAACTATAAATTTAATTAATATTTATTATATTAAATATATTTATAGCTAGTATATGTTAAACCTCAATTACTTTTTTGCATTTTATTGCACTAATTTAAATAATAAAAATAATTTTAAAATTTAATTAAAATTTTTAAACATTGGTATATGTATTTGAGGATTATTCTCAGGTAATCTATTGGAAATTGTTATTATTTGAGGTTATTATATTTTATCGTGCATTTTATATAATCCTAAACTAGAGTTGCTTAAATACATCCAAACTAAACAAATCATATTCTAATAAATAATGATCAAGTCTTTGAAGTTGTAATTTGGTTGCGATTATTTTTAGTTAATTATAATTTTGAATTAAATATTTATTTTCATCAAATAATTTAAAAACTGTCATTTTGTTTAATTATATATTTTGGGATATATTTGTAAACATATATTTTGGTTTAAACTTAATCATACATTTTTATTTATAATACTTATTTAATAACTCATAATAATATATAGGTAACTTTAATTAGATATAAACTAATTCATGTTCTTTTATTTTTAATCTACCATATTTTAGTTGTGTAAGATCCAGTAAAGTTAATGACAGGATTAATGCAAACTTTTTCTTGATTCTTAGTATCAGTTGGTTATATCATTCCTGTCCATTCTGCTCTTTGTAAATTTTAATGCCATGTTTAAATATAATCCTTTAAAATAGTATTTGATGTTTGGTTTTAAAATACTGGTTGGATATTAAATAAACTTACAATTTAAATAATAGGAACCTACTTTTTAACAGACTTTTTTCATTATAAATATTAAACATAAGTCTGACTATTTGAGTTCGGCCACTCTTGTCCTAAATCTCCATTCGTTTTGACTTTCTACGTCTATGCACACACCAACATCCTTCATATTATTCTCAATCATATTCAACCATCTTTTTTCAGTTTTCTTCTTCCTTTTTCTTCAACATTCATTTTTTTATAATAACTCTTACAGCATTTGCTTCCTCTTGTCTCATCATATGTCCAAATTATCTCTGTCTAATTTCTTTCATCTGGTCCACTAACAATGTTTTACCAATATTATCTCTCACATATTCGTTCCTTATTTTATCTTCTCTTATCACTTATAATATTGGGTATAAATTCACTCATCTATGTAAACATTTTTATTTCCAAAAAACTCATACTATGTTTTATTCTCCTGTCAACTACCCAATACTTTGAATCATATAAAATAGTTGGTCTCACTAGTCTCCTGTGTAATAATGATCTAAATTTAAAATTAAAATAAGTAATATCCAAGATATTATCTATATCATTAGCATTCATTATATTTTTAAATAACTATTTTACCATTTACCTTACCTAGAAAAAAACTTGTGGAGTAACTTTTAATGATCATGCTATTGTTTCTTCTAGATTTTGATACTTAAAAGTATATAGTTAATAAGGTCTTACCTCATATTATTTTTCTAAACATAAATCAACAATTCATGCGTTTTCAATTATAATTGTTTTACTATACATGTTTTAAGTTTTAATTATAACTATATAAACAAGTAAATACTACTGTAAATATCTACATTGTACTCATATTGTTTTTGATATATTTATTGCTTTGACTGAATTAATTCCATGTTTGATGTTGCATTAGTAATTTTTTAAAAGTAATGAAATTATTTTCAGTATTTGTTGCTAAGATTAGTTACAGAATTAATTTTTTCTATCGGTTTTAACTATTTATTAAATTTGATGTACTTAGGTAATAAATATAATTTTAAATTAAAAAACTTAAACTAAAATTAAAGATTTCCAGATGGTATGGCCATCTTGATAAGAAAAATAGAATATTAATTATAAAAATAATAAATTAACAAATAAACTATAGGTAACACTTCCATGTATTTCCATGTTCAAATTACATTTTGAAAAGTAGGTTACCGATTAGTTTTAATTATACAATTATAACAGATATACTTAGTATTAATGGAAATCAATATTTTTACTGTAATAAGAAATTTTTATCATAGTATTCCTTAATACTACCAATTTATAAGAATTTTAATTCCATATTAGATAAAAAAACTAATCTTTGGTCGAATTCATATTTTAATGCTGTACTTATCTTATGTTATATCTACCCATAAATTATTGATTTATTATTTTCAAATTTATAAAATTACAGTAACTAAACATAGAATATTCATCTAAATAGGCATTTTGCATCCTTTTTTTTATTCACAAATTAGTTTTAATAGAAAATAAAATAAATAACTATGAAGTACTATTATTTATTTATTTATTATTATTAATTAATTTAATAAATATTAATAAATAATAAATAAATATATTTATTAGTATTAATTTATTTTAATCAGTATACATCATACAATGTATAAAAAAAACTTTTACATTTTACAATTTAATTTTAAAGTGATCTTTTGAATTGTTTGGTAATACTTAAATATTTTAAATTTGGTTCTACAGATCAGAACTGTTTCCAAGGGGAACAGAATCATTTTGCCCCATGCAAGTTTAGAAAAATTTAAAGGGTACCCCCTTAAAGTCTAGATTAGAAATAGTTTAATAAGTCTAAAGTCGAAGTTAGAAATACTGATCTTATTATATTATTTTTAAATTCTTTTTTTTTTTTAAGTAATAAATTTAATTATTAAATAAATAAAATTAACTTACATTTATAATTAAGCGCTATTATAGGCTACATTTAATGTTATTCTAATTTCTAAATAGTAATCAGGGTAATTTATTATTGTTATTGCTGGAGTGTGAAGAATCACATAATTTTA